TGTTAAGTCAGATTACACTATGCAGTGGGCTGATAAGAGAATAACCAAACAGCTGTTTTCTCTGCTCTTATCTCCTTCAGGAGACGGTGTTTCTAGGAGGAGAACCAGCCGCACTAACCACATATCATTTTTCATTTTGATCCAAGGTCCTTAGTACAATTACATTTTACAAGCCAAAATGTTTCACTGACACATTTTCCCCTGTAGAGTACAATCCAACAGATCCTCCGCAGCTGAACTGCACCGAGGGAAAAAAAAGAAAGAAAAGTTGACCCTTAAATCATTTTGGTCAGGTGTTGAATGTGAAGCTTCTGCCCGAAATTCCATCTTTAAAACCTTGTCCGGTTTGAAGTCAGGGGTTAGGACAGGGAATGTAGGAGTTTAGCCTCCATCAGGGGAATTAACCGTAGTGGGAACGTTCACAGGACAGGAGACGTGACGTCCCGTCAAACCTTATAAACTGCTTGATTTCATCGATTTGATGCTAAAGGCTAAAGCTGGTATAGAAACTAAACTATGGAAATGATGTTTGCAAAGTAAATTATTTATCTAATACAAACTTTTACTTGAACACGTTTGGAAACTCTAAGATTTTTCTAGAATTCTCAATCTACCAAACTGAACTGTTATCTGACATTACACAGTTTTTACAGGAAATACATTCATTTAATTAGAGCAAGACTCGTGATTAGGTACTGAGAAAGACTACTAGTATTTGCTTTAGTGCCCTCTAAAGGTCTGGAGGGTAACAGCATGTAGCCTTCGTGAGAAAAGGATCCTTTTTTTTAAAAAAAATAGTATTTTAGGCAGAAATATGGCAGAAAGAAAAATCAGTGCAGACACAACTAGGGCAGATTCACTTCAGTTAAAAAAAATCAAATGTCATATTCAGTTAAGATTCTACATAAAAACATGTGGAAGTAATTCTTCTAGCATTGAACCAATGGGATGGTCAAATACCTCTGGTATGATGTGAGGCTGTGCTTCAGTGTTTCATTTTGAAATACTGGATTAGTCTGGAAGATTTGTTCTGTTCTAATAATTACCCCCTTTATACCCCGTGGTAGAAATCTGGGATGGCATCAATGTTAATGATTTCTGTCTGAATGGATTCAAAGCTGCACTCAGTGTCTTTGTGTTTGATAAATGTCTGACAAACATATGAGGTCGTCTGTGTGGGGTTGACACCAAGTTACTGCACATTTTGGTGTCAAACCCAGAGAACTTTAACACAGAAAACACATTTTCAACATGTATATAATACATATATATATATATGTATATATATTTATATAGTCATCACTGTGCATCTGGAAGGTGATTGGTCGAACTAGTCCACAGTAGACTTACTTACTTAATGGTCAAACCTGATGTTGAACACAAACACATGTTGGTGTTGAGATGGTATTTCAAACTCCAGGTTCTTTTACCCACAATGTGCTCAAATAACAACGTTTGCATCAACAATGAGTGGATGGACTGGATATTAGTAGTATGCAGTATTGGATATTAGTAGTATGCAGTATTGGATCTTAGTAGTATGCAGTATTGGACCTTAGTAGTATGCAGTATTGGACCTTAGTAGTATGTAGTATTGGACCTTAGTAGTATGCAGTACTGGACCATAGTAGTATGCAGTATTGGACCTTAGTAGTATGCAGTATTGGACCTTAGTAGTATGCAGTATTGGACCTTAGTAGTATGCAGTATTGGACCTTAGTAGTATGCAGTATTGGACCTTAGTATGTACTATGCAGTATTGGACATTAGTAGTATGTAGTATTGGACATTAGTAGTATGCAGTATTGGATCTTAGTAGTATGCAGTATTGGACCTTAGTAGTATGCAGTATTGGACCTTAGTAGTATGCAGTAT